ATATGACTTTTTAAAGTTATGTTTTAAAGTGGCATTTAGCCTATGCAAATGGTTATGAGAAATATTAATAACCCAAACTTATTAGAGATTTGGTGTATAAGATTCACTGATGTTAGTTAATTAACTATGACTTTGAATATCTGGTGTGATAAGCAAGTGTGAATTATGATATTTTAATACTTACTAGTCAAAAAAATAATGAAATGAGAGACTCAAAAATCTATGACACTGGAGGCAGACATCAGGAAGCCAATGTCAAATTCTGTTTATAAGCATTAGAACAGTGAGGAATTTGTATAAATATTGCTTTCTTCTATAATTGAAATTGATTTTAGTACTACTTGTTATTAGTAGAGAGGAAAATGAAATCATTTATATTATAACACATTCCTGTGGTAGAGTCTTCCCTTTAAGATGACATATAGTACAGATTTACAAGTTTCAATCCTCAGGAAAAAGAGAAAGATGGCTATGGTTAACAAGTGTCTTTGTGGGCAAGGTGTTAGCAGGTTGAGGTAGCCATGGGAGAAAGTTATCTTGGGCACTGTCAGTGTTATCTTCAAGCAGCACTGGGAAGTAAATAAAGTTTGTATTTGAAAACCCTAGTCTCCAGCTTTGTTCTTTGCTGTGTACCTCTATCTCGCCTTTCCACTGACCTTAAAAAAAAGACCATGCTCTTCACGTTCTCAGGAGAGGAGGACCCCAGTAGTCTCATTCTCCAAGACCACTTGGTACTCACACACACCAAGTTGAAAGTGATTACTAATAGCTTAATATCTTGCTTCTTCTATAAAGTAACTAGGACTTAAAAATAATATACAAGACTTCAGTGGAGAAAAATTTGAAACATGATCAAAGTATATAAAAGAAGATCTTAAGTAGTAGAGAGATAGTAAAAGCTCTTGAGTGGAATGAATTCATATTATAAAGATGTTAATTCCCCTAAAAATTAATATTTGAACTAAATGATAGCTGAATTAAAGTTTCTACATTTTTCTAGGAACTTTAACAAATTTATATAAAATATATATATGAAAGTCTAAGAATAGCTAAGGCAGCCCAGAAAAAAGTAGAGCAAAGAGGGTAGACTTTCCTGTCCAGATATAAAGACACTCCTCAGTAATAAAAATATTATAAAATTGGCTCAAGGATAGTAAGAAAAAAGTAAATAAACCAATGCAACAAAAGAGAGAGCTCAGAGATAGAGAGAGAGAGAGATAACTACTTATTATAGGAAACACATATGATAAAGAACTCACTATTTAGTAATTGTGTTGGAAAAACTGGCTCATTTCTATGTGGAGAAAATAAAACTGGCTTCCTACTTTCCAACATGTACAAAAAGAAATTAAAGACCTGATTGTGAAAGACAAAACCACAGAGCAGGTAAAAGAAAAGATAGAACAACTTTGTGACCTAGGGAGAGAGATTTTTCCCCACAAAGCTTTGAAAAGTGCAAACCATAAAATGAAAAATAATGTCGTTAATCCAAATTAAATTTTCTGTTGAACAAAGGACATATAGACAAAGTCAATAGAACACCAACTGGGAGAAGAGCTTGTTATGCCTACAAACTAAAAGAGTAATTTATAAAATATACAGGGCACTCTTATAAATCATCAACGACAAAGCAACAACAGACCACAGCCCTCTAGAACAATAGGCAACTGATGTTCATGGAAGGGGAAACCTTGTGGCTACAAGTGTATGGAGAAAAATGTAAATTAAAACAACAATGCGATACCATTTTATACCCCCAAAAGCTGGCACAGTTAAATCTGCATAGTGTGAAGTGTGGGTAGGGACATAGAAAAGAGGAACCTTTCTTCACTGTTATGAGAGAATATATCTGTGCTGCTTTTCTGAACAGCAATCTGGCAGTACCTAGTAAAAGTGAATAAACTTATCCCTGTGACCCAGTGGACCTACTCCTGGGTTACCATTTCAAAGGTATTTTTTTTAAAGTAGAATAAAATGTGGGAATAAGTAGAATAAAATGACTTACATGAGGTTCCTTCGTGCTGCAATGCCAGTAGAGTTGGCAATTGGAAGTGGTTTAGGTGCCTATCAAAGGGGAAACAAGTAAAATGTCGATACACACCATGGAATGCCATGTTAGATAAAGGAGCTACATATAGCAACGTAGTTATATTGCAAGACCATAATGCTAAGTAAACAATTAAGACAAAGAATCATTCCTGTAAAAAACTTTCCTACATGCACTAAACCACATCCTGTTTTACAGGGATGCATACATATTCAGAAATATATATCAAATGCATTAGAGCAGAAACCTATGGCAGGCATAGAGGTGGTGGTGGGTGTTTGGTATGGAGGGAATGAGAATAATGAGGGTAGAATCACATACACATATATGCACACACACACACACAGAAAGAGGGAGAGAAAGAGAGGAACCTTGTGTGGAACAATGATCATATGTGTTGTACTGAGGAGTATGAAGAATAAAGAATATTTTACCTGGGATACCGAAAGTCCTACTTTTTCTAGAGAGATGTAGAGTTCAAAGGAAGGCATTGTGGATTTCCAAGCATCTGCTAACAAGTTGGAGCGTAGTTTTATCATGTGGTCAGTGAATATTTATTCATCATCTGCTCCATGCTGGGCACTGTTCTGGGTGCTAGGGATATTATAATGAATGAGACAGACTAGCCTCCCTTCTGGTTGGTGATTCTGGTTAGTCTTTCCTGGATTCGGCTAGGTAAATTGTTTCATGTACCTAAGATCAACCGTGGGTACAGTCTATATGAGGCCTGGGGGCATGACTCTGGGCTTGCCCTTTATCTGAGTTGGCTTCTGGGAAAGACTTGAAAATTCATAAGGAAACAACTGAAGAGAAAACCCATTATGATCTGAAGTTATGTAACACACATATGTCTTCAGCTGTTTTTTTTCACAGGAGCAATTTTATTCTATATTCATAATCTCTCCTAATAACAAATATTTTTGAGACTCCTTGTATGACTATTCACAAATCCATATACAGCCAGAGAGCAGATTTCATTTTAGTGGGTTTTGGTTAAGTTCACGAAAATCTAAATCTTGGACTCCATTAATGCTACCCATTAATGGTTTTTCACCGGGGCCATACAGTGAATAATAGACATTCTAGTTTTGTTTCACAGCTATTTATTCCCTATTCAGAAATAATACTGAAGCTGGCAACTAGTACTGGGTCAAGTCCCAACTTTGGAAGTGCTACTATAATGGCAGTCTCAAAACTACCTCTATGCATGCTCCCACAGATATTTAGTAAATTATTTAATTACACAGAACTATTTATTCATTCATATGTTCCTACTGAGTACTTCCTGTGTATGTGCATAAAACTGTTTTAAGGTTGGAGGTTAAAAAATTGAAAAAGACAGAGACTCTTCCTTCAAAAGCATATAATTCAATGATGTCACAACTTATTTTTCCATGGGAACAAAATTCATTATACTTCTCAGGTTCTCAGGCAAACCAACAAAAGCCTATTTAATACATAGACTCGCTTAACTTTGGTGCTAATATCATTCTATAGACAAAAATGGTCATATCTTATATAAAGAAAAAATTGGATAAAGAAGAGTTTCATCATTTCCGGCTCATGAACAACCCCAAGAAAATGTTTGGAACAAGTCTAATTTTCATTTACTCTTCCCTACCCTTCCCTTTTGCATAGTTCTCTTAAGGTCATCTTTCCAAATGCTGTATCTTCATGCTATTCTCACCCTTCACTGTGGCTCCTCACTTAGGTCTGTGCCATCTCACAAAATGCTCAAGTTTCTACAGTTACTCACTTTCCTTATTCCAGTTCTTCAACACTCCTGATCTGCAGTAGCTGTGAAGAGAAAAATCTATTGAACTAATTTGTTCAAATTCACATTCCTTCTTCTAGCAATAGATCAGTGCACTTGCTCTCTGCTCCCACCCTTTAGGAGGTTTTCCAGTCTAGATTTTAGGTGTTATTTAGAAGTCAGTGTAGTTTTAATAATTTAAAGTTAACATATTGCCAGATTCTCTTCTTCAGATAGTCATATATATATATATATTTATACACACAAATTTGTTATAAGATTTTGGAAACATTATTTTGAGACTTGCGTGTTGTTTAGAATGAGTGCAGGTAAAAAAATTTCAAGATGAACTACTATACCACTGTATTTTTAAAATACTTGCATGTTAAGAATAATAGTGATAAGATTGTTCGACATTAATATTTACAAAGTTAAATTGATATTAATTTTAATTCAATGAAAAAAATTTAAGATATATTTCCATCTACCATAATTGTTATGATCACTTGAAAAAAGAATGGGAGGAACATAGTGCTTAGATTAGCCAACACTTTTATTTTTAAAGTGTGAGTCTTCTTCAGGATTTAGCATATTAAAAATAAGATAAAAGTATTTTAAAAAATGGAATTATCTCCAAGATGTCATCATTTTAAAGTAGAAGATATAGGACACAGGTCATTATTTCTGATCAACTCTAACGAGATAAGAATCTATAAAGCTCGAAAGGAAAATGAGTCCGTGACCAAAATGCTTACTCAGTTACTATAAATATTATATGAAACATGGACTCTATAAAGACAAAGCAATTGTTTTCTTTGAAAAATATGTCAGGTTTTGAAAATTCTAGGATTTACCTGTAAAAGCACCGTCTGGGACCTAATAGTGACGTTTTAGGGAAACACTTGCATATTAAGGTGGGAAGGATAGGAGGTGGCGTTTTGTGGGTCCTATGGTGGTTAGGTAGTTCTCAGAAGATGACACTGGAAATTAGATAATTGCTGATGTCATATTTTTCACAGTAAAAAAATTGGTGTCCCAAGGGCTATAAAAGCAGCGGCTTCTACCTTTCCATCACAAGCAGAATCATTGAAGCAGGTAAGTGTTTCAGGCAAACTTAGTATGATTGATTCATTTGTTGTGCTACTTCTTGACACTTAATTATCTTCCTTTATGTTCTTGTTTTCTTGATACCAGGTTCTTCTTCCCACCTGCCAATTGCTGGAGTAAGAGTTGTCTTCAATGGCCACCCTGCAGAAATCTGTGAGCTTTTCCCTTATGGGGACCCTGGCTGCCAGTTGTCTTCTTCTCATTGCCCTGTCAGTGCAGGGAGGAGCAGCTGTGCCCATCAGGTCTTACTGCAAGCTTAATGAGTCCGACTTCCTGCAGCCCTATTTCACCAATCGCACCTTCAGGATGGCCGAGGAGGTACTCATCTAAATCTCTCTCTTTCATATCTTACCTACTTGGAACCCAAATAGTTCTTACATTTTTCTGCAGAGCACATCTAAGATCTTTAAGAACCCACCATTTATCTCTACTAGTAGACCAGAGATTATTTTGTCTCATCATAGACTCTTTGGAGATTGGGCTTTATCAGAAGACCTTCCATTTTGGCCTTTAAAATATGTACATGGAGTTTTACCCCCAAAGGAGCCCAACTGACTATTCATTTTCTCTGGACTCCTCTGTGCATTGTTTTAAACTCATGCACAATCTGAATTCTTTCCTTAGTCTTCATTGGGCTGCTCTTGGGAGAGGGGATAAAGTGCATCTCTACTTACAGACTTTTGTTCTATCTCCTCAATGTCCAAACACTTAGTCTCTTCTTCTCTTCCAGGTTAGTTTGGTAGATAACAACACAGATGTTCGTCTCATCTGTGAAGATAAACTGTACCATGGAGTCAATGTAAGTCATAGTAGTGATGAGCAGGGCAGTGTGCCATCCATGGTTACTTGGAGTGGTGGTGAAGATGGTTTGGATCTTCTGGATGGAACCTAATAGGATCCCTGCTGTCTTACTTTTGTCTGCAGGAGAATGAGCGCTGCAATGTGATGAAGCAGGTGCTGAAATTTACCCTTGAAGAAGTGCTGCTCCCTGAGTTTGATAGATTCAAGCCCTATATGAAGGATGCGGTGTCCTTCCTGGAAATGCTTAGCAACAAGCTTAGCCAATGCGTAAGTTCTCTCAGCTTAATTTCACCCACTCCTAGTCACCTGCCTTCTCTCCTTTCATTTAGAGCCCTTTCCCCTCCAGTCCCCACTGCCTCCTTCTATGCTGGCAGTAAGAGGTGCCTCAGTGACACCATTATAAGAGTCATTTGGAATCACAGAGTATTTGCTTTAATTTAGTCATATTTTGAATTTATGGTAACGAATAGGGTCTGAAAGACAAGTACATAGAAGGCTCATTTGTCCCCGGGAAAAGCAACTCAGGTTATGTGAGATGCAAAAGGTCTTTGAACACCTAGATGTGGAAATGGATCCACTAAATAGAAATTGATCAAGGGAAGGGATGGTAAAGAGAGAAAGAGGGAAATGGGAAGGTTTAATGTTCCATGGTGGGTGGGCAGATTCCTACCCTGTTGATGTCATGGGAAGTGATAAAATCAAAGGTGTGTGAATTCTATGCCCCTGAAAATTTAAAACTATGAAAAAACTTTGAGTGAATTGGGCAGAGCAAAAGGGACCTAGTACCTATTGAGGAGGGTCCACTGTTCACAGATGATGTTTTATGTCTGTTTCTTGCTCTGAGCATGCATTTTTGACGAGGTACAGCTAGGGTTTTAATCTTGACCGCATTTGCATAAACCACTCTACTCTTTCCACAAACTTAAACCTCAGTAAGATTTCCCAAAAGTGAATAAGGGAAATGACTGGATTTTGGTGTCCAAGGGAATTCAAAAGCTCAGAAAATTTAGGTCACTAGTGAAATCTAGGTCATTGTGGGCACAAATGCTAAGAACTTTAACTCCAGGTGAATTGTAACATACCTCAGTTGGGGACGCTGAGATTCATAAAGTCTCAGTACAACAATGTTAAAATAATTACTCTGCTTTTCATTTTCTAGCACATTGAGAATGATGACCAGCATATCCACAGAAATGTACAAAAGCTGAAGGACACAGTGAAAGAGGTACTACTAATAACTATTAATGCTGAATCATTAAGTAGGAGAGACAAATGTTTTTCTTATCTTTCCTTTCTTTCTTTTATCCCCCAAGTTATGATTTTTTTTCTTGATTCTTCTACCATTAGGCTGATAATTTAGGTATATATGGATATAGATGTGTGTCTATATTTCTAAATCATTTGCCAAATTTTTCAAATCATAGAATTCTAGAACTGTATGGGAAGTTAGGTTGTTTAATCTCATCACCCATTCTCTGGGGATGACCAGTGGTAGAGCCTGGGCTAGAATGCAGTTCTCTTGAATCCCATCCAGGCTAGCACTCTTTCAGCAGCAATAGGTATTAGTTCTAGTATTATTAATTCTTAGAGAAATGTAAGATTCCTAGTAGTTCATGTAATCTGAAAAATCACTTGTTCAAAACAGAAAAGGACCTGGGAGCATATTTATTTGAAGTGATTTTTAAAGCCATTAAATTTGATGATTTAAAACTTGGAGAAATAAACCCAGACCAACTGTAACAAAAGAGCTTGACTTGAATGTAGGCTGAATTTCTGGAATGATTAATACTTATATTTAGTTACCATAATATAATACCTGATAGCTATTGATTTGAATTTAAAAGCAACCCTCAATATTTACATAGTTTTAAATAAATAAAAATATTAGTAATAGATTTATTATAGTAACATGGAAGTTAGAATTGGAAATCTTTTCTTCCTCTGTCCCTTTCCCTTTGTTTCTACCCTCTTCTCCACCACAATAAGTCCTTAGATAGACAGTGAGCATCTATCTGGTGTAGGCTAGTGTATATTTCTACAGTGAATGATAATGTCATGTGGCCTATTTGGGGAAAAGAACAGCAGTAGAAGGCTCAGACTACCAATTGTGACTAATCTCAAAACCAGAAGAATGATTAGTTGCAGTGAAAGTGATGCTCTTGTAAGCAGGTACAATTAAACCTCAGAAACATGAAGGCTTTAGTTGATGAAAATTTCAGCAACAAGCATAATCACAATTCCCCTCTTTTTCCATCTTGATTTTTTTTTTTTTTTTTACAAAAAGTCTTTCTTCCTGAGCATAACTTAATGAACATAATGGTTGTGGCCTTTGTAGTTTTTGACTGTGAAGCTCAATTCTCTTGTCCTAGAATTACAGTATTACCTAGATGTGAAGGGATGAGTATTGGCATGCCATAGCCAAAAAGTGCTTTGCCCTTCTGGTTTGAAAAAATCTCTGATGTCAGTTTACTCTGTGGTCTTTAGAAGAGTGAAGTGCGTGTGAGAGAAATCTGATGGTGGTCTGTGAGAAAACAGATATTTTAAAGCTTTTCTCTATTTTGAGAGAATCAACTTTCACATGTGCAGTAGGTTGCCACGTGGAAGAGTGGCTATGCTTTTTTTACCCTGTCACTCCAGAAGGCATAGGCAGAGCAGATGAATGTTGTTGAACATGAAGAAAAATTGGTCAGCGCTGTTTGAAAAGGGTAGGAAGCCTTGGGAGGTAAAAGCAGAGAGCAGGCTGTAGTAGAATGGATGAAAAGACAGTAGGACAAGGACAACTAATTTTTTTTTCACAAATATCCTGTGGCCTTAATACAAAGGAAGAGTGGAAAGGTGAAAGAAAGCAGGAAGAGAAAGGAGAGCAGAGTATAGAGAACAGATGAATTTCAGAGGAGGGTGCTTTGAACTTGAATTTGGACCCTCTTCCATTGGGTTTGAAAGCCTCATTCATATACTACTTGGAAGAAGAAGAAAAAAAGAATGGTAGAATCTGTATTTGGCTTTCTACTAATTAAAAGCAACTGAATAGGACTTATTTGATATTTTCACAAAAGTGAAAACCTGTTTCTTTTCTTTTGTCAAGAAGGTGAGAACAGAAAACCTCATGTTTATTGGTTAATGTATAGTTTTGATTCAAGGCAACTGTTGTAAATAATTTATTGGTCTTAGACAGTTGTAGGGCTATGGGGTAGGGAAGGCCTAATGGGTGGCACTCTGGGTCCCCTGTCATAGCTCCTATCTGGCTGCTCTGGTAAGGAAGTGGTTTTACAACTTCATTAGTATGAGGTACCACAGAGATTGATACCTCTTGGTGCACTCTCAGTTCATAACTGTAAGGGCTTTGGCAAGTCATATTATATTATTGCTGAAGGGATTTATTTTTAATTTTTTTACAAAGGCTAAAACTTGGTTTCTTTTCTAGCAACCTAACCAAGCCACTTTCTTCTAATTTGTCCCTCTCTTAAAAATATGGTGAAAGTACTCAAATACTTGTGTTTTTTTATTTTCACAGCTTGGAGAGAGTGGAAAGATCAAAGCAATTGGAGAAGTAAACTTGCTGTTTATGTTCCTGCAAGAAGCCTGCAGTTGATCATGGAAAAGCTGGAAAATGGAAAATAACTCTTCTTGCCTGTGGGAAATAACAATAAGATCCCAAAGATTTTCTTTCACCAAAAGGAAAATGGGAGGTCAAACTCCATAATCAAGGATTTATAAATATACAAACCCCTACTTAGTTTAAAAAAGAGAACAATGTCACTTGTGTCCATAAGACCAGAAGGTAGCTCTTCCAAGCATAATGAGATTTATTGCTAATTGTAGTTGGCATTTTATACACAGAAATTCATTTTTAAGCAATTGAATGCTGAATGGTCCATTCTTACAAAAAAATTACTTCCCATTCCTTTAGGGGGGAAAAAACAACCTAAATAACTTTCTTTTCAAAATTAAGACTTTATATTTATAAGTTTATTTATTGTTATAAATATCATTTTATTTATGCCATTTTACTAATATGGATTTATTTATAGAATTATGATATTGCTACTTAATTATAAGACTAATATTAATATTTATGACAATAATTATGGCTCACTGATATTTTTATTTAAATTCAATAAATACTTCGATATCTTAAGTTTTGTGGCTTTGTGATTTTTTCTTTAATATTATCACCGTTATTGTCATCATCGTCATCATCATCATATTCCCATTTGCTAAATGAGCCATTTGCTCTCCTTTATCTTCCTGTTTTCTTCCACCATTCCACCTTTCCACTCTTCCTTTGTATTAAGGCCAAGGGATCTTCATGTAAAAAAATTTTAAAGTTTATCTTGTCCTACTCTCTTGTCATCCATTCTACTACAGCCTGCTCTCTGTTTTTTCCTCCAGTGACAGTAAATTCATACCTCTCAAGGTTTCCTTTCCATTTCAGACAGCGCTGACCAATTTTCCTTCATGTTGAGCTTTCTCTGAACAACATTCATCTGTTCTGCCTATGCCTTCTGGAGTGACAGGGTAAAAAAAGCATAGCCACTCTTCCACGTGGCAACCTATTAAACATGTGACAATTGATTCTCTCAAAATGGAGTAAAAGCTTTAAAATTTCTGTTTTCGTATAAAAGACTTTATTCTTGAGTCTAAGCAAATGAGGTGGCCATCAGCATTATCCCCATCTTACAGATGAGAAAACTGAATCAGAGCCATGTTTAAAACATTGTGTAACTATACATAGTTGATCCTGATGGAGTTCAGTCTATCTGGTTTTTGGGATCTCTGCTCTATTGCCCATATAGATTTATTATGTTGATTCAGCATGTGATTCTGAAATAAAAAGGTAAGAAATGGAAATGAACCCATCTGTGTTGTTAGCAATTTGCAGATAAAAGATAGGAGTGATGCTACTGGGGGAGAAATAGATGGAACCTCTATTGCTGTAGGTGAACTGCTTTAGTTCTAGTTCAAGCCTATGAGGGAGGGCACTCTCTAGTTTTCCTGTAAATCAGGAAATAAAGCAAAGGGGAAGCTTACTGAGCTGGAGGAGTCTATCTGCTAGTGGAGTTTAGCACTCACAGACAAGTCTTGTGTGTAGAAGGGGAGCAAGATAGTATGAAGCACACTGAAGAGAGAGCATGAAGGCTGCACATCTTCAAACTTTGTACAGAAAAGAGAGCAAAGAGGTAGAGATAAAAGTTGGATTACCTAGAAGAATGAACAAATGACACCAGCACTGAAGAATCTATAAGTCTTTCCACAGAAGGTGAAAGTTAGTGGGCAGCTGTCTAAAGTGTTTCCTTTTCCAAAAATTCAGGAACCTTGGTTTTATCCTTTAATTCATTCACTAATTGTTTGCCAAGTTCTTGTGGGATTAGGTCAAGCTTGGTGATATTGGTAAGCATTACCAATTGTAGGTTCACTTGTAGATAAAGTGGAGCTAATATTTTTGGGCATGGCCTTTGAATGCTGAGAGGTATGAGAACTAAACTTTAGAGATGATAGAAATAAAATTACTCTGTGATAAGTTGGTTTTAAGACTCTTCTTCCAAAAGCGTCTAAGTGCAATACCTTGAACAAAATTTGATATTGTACTTGTTTTTGACCAATATTCTAGAAATAAAGACATAAATGGAAGAATACTACTCTTAAAATTGGATTTGTGACTATTTCCATCCTAGAGCAAGGAGGCTGAAAAACAGAGATTTAAATACTGAATACCAATGAACATAAGGCATAAGGTGCTAGGATCTTCATCAATTTGTCTTCATTGGTGACAAATTTGGCAGTGATGTGAGATAGTCCAAGTTCCTCATAGATCTTTCCACAGAAGGTGAAAGTTAGTGGGGCAGCTGGAAGGGAGTCTTGACACAATCATTAGCACCTGTTGTAGCATTTTTAAATTTTTTTAATTTTATTATTATAATTATTATTATTTTTCAGCATCAATGGCACTGCTCATGTTCTTGCCATTGGTGGAGGCCTTGGGTGTCGCCTCTCCCAGTAGCAGATGGCAACATCCAGGTATTAAAGAGGACTAGACTGGGAGGCTGTGTGAGACACAGCACCCTGAGACACTAACCATAATTTAGGACTGACAAGAAGCTGCTGGAGGGTTTTGAGCATGGGAAAAACTTGATATGACTCATGTTCTATAAAGATCACTGTGACTATTGGATAGAGAGGAGGCCTACTGTATGTGTTTGTGGGGCGGGGAGTAGGGTTAGAACAGAAGCAAGATCAGAACAATAGTCCAGGGACGGGGAGGCAACTGCACTGGAGTAGATGGGAGTTGAGTCAGAGAAAACATGTGTGTGACTTACTGTGGCACTCAGCGTGGGCTGCCTGGGAAATGAGAGCTATGTATAGACCAAATGCACTAGCAGGAAAAATAATCCTTTTGTTTTTCTTCTGATCCTTCACTTACACTGTAGTATTCACTAGCATGCAGTGCTGCATGTGGGAATTAAAGATAGACAGGTGATCTTGTTTTGAAAGGACGTTGAGATTTGAGTGAAGACACTTCCATCAGAAGAGAAGAATGCAGAGATCGACCCTGAACTGAGGTCCTATTGTCTCAGAGGCAATCACAGTTATAGCAAGTTTATCTCTGTACTCTCCTGTCAAGGAATGCCTATTTTTGAAAAACAGATAGAGAAGGCTGAGATGACTGATGACAGGATCTCTAAGAGGAAATTGCATTACTGCTACACCAAGAGGCTAGATAGACTATAACCGGACCGGGTGGATTTGCTGGATTGTCTTGTCAATTTGCTTGATAGTCTCGCTAACAGAAAACTGCATCAATCCCAAAGAGACAGGATCATCAAGAACTCCATTTCCATTTTGGAAATTAACCCCTTATCAGGAGTATCATTGGCAAATCTCTTTTCATTTTGTTGATTTTTAAATTTTTTGCTGTACAGAAGTTTTTTTATTTGGTTGTAGTCCCATTTGTTTATTTTCTCCTTAGTTTCCTTTGCCCTAGGAGATATATCTGCAAACATATTGCTATGAGAGATGTCCGAGATTTTTGCTGCCCATGATTTCTTCTAAGATTTTTATGGTTTCATGACTTAGGTTTAAGTCTTTTATCTATTTTGAGTTTATTCTTGTGTATTATGTAAGTTGGTGGTCTAGTTTCATTTTTTTTCATGTACCTGTCCCATTTTCCATTTATTGAAAAGACAGTATTTACTCTACTGTATGCTCTTGCTTCCTTTGTCGGATATTAATTAACAAAAGGAAGACAAGTAATACAATTAAAAAATGGGCAAAGGATGCCAGGCTGGTGTGCCACAGTGGTTCAGTGTTGACTCAGAAACGAAGAGGTCATTGGTTTGATTTCTGGTCAGGGCACATGCCTGGGTTTGGGGCTTGATCCTCAGTAGGGGGCATGCAGGAGGCAACCAATTGATGATGTTTCTCTCTCATTGATGTTTCTATCTCTCTATCACTCTCCCTTCCTCTCTTTCTAAAAATCAATTAAAAAACAGATAAACAAACAAAAATTGGCAAAAGTCCTAAATAAACACTTCTTCAAAGAGGACATACAGATGGCCAAGAGATATAAAAAGATGCTCATAGTAACTAATCATTAGAGAGATGCAAATTAAAACGACAATGAGGTATCACCTCACCCCTGCCAGAATGACTATCATCAGCAAATCAACACACGGCAAGTACTTGTGAGGATGTGGAGAAAAGGGAACCTGGGTACTCTGCTGGTAGGAATGCAGACTGGTATAGTCACTATGGAAATCACTATGGAGTTTCCTAAAAAAATTAAAAATGGAACTGCCATTTGACCCAGTAATTCCATTTCTAGAAATATATCCTAAAAACTTGAAACACCAATATATGCATCCCTATATCCATTGCAGGACTATTTACAAGAGCTAAGATCTGGAAACAGCCCAAGTGCCCATCAGTAACTGAGAGGATAAAAAATGTGGTACATTTACAGCATGGAACACTATGCAGCTATTAAAAAGAAGGCTCTCTTCCACTTTAAGACAGCATGGAGAGTATTATGCTAAGTGAAATAAGCCAGTCAGGAAAAGACAAGTATTACACAATCTCACTTATATGTGGAATCTAATGAACAAAATAAACTAACATACAAAATAGATCTAGAGACATGGAAGCATGCAACAGACTGACAAATCTCAGAGGGCAGGGGTGGGGGAGGGAGAGATTAACCAAAGAACTTATGTGCATATATGCATAACCCATGGACACACACAATAGTGCTGTGAAGGCCTGAGGAGGGGGTAGAAGTGGGCTAGAGGGGATAAATGGGGGGAAAAGGGGACATCCGTAATACTTTCAATAATAAAGATATATTAAAAAAATAAACGCACTCCATTTCCTTAGGAATGAGGGTTTAAGTAACTTTACCAGGTAAAGGATTCCATCCAATGGAGATGCAGGCAGAGGGTAAAGGGAAAATGTAATGGATAATGAAACAAAGAATTTATGATTATTTAATTTAGATTCTACAAACAACTATAAAAGTAGGAACTATAGCAGATATAGTTTCTGTTAATAAATTATTTTCCTATTTTTTCCTCTTTCCCCCTCTTTATCTCTTATATGAAGAACTAGAGGCCTGGTGAACTAAATTAGTGCACAGGGGGGGAGGGGTCCCCTCAGCCCAGTCTGTGCCCACTCCAATCCAGGACCTCCCAGGATTGGGCCTAAACTATCAGTTGGACATCCCTCTCACAATCCTGGACTGCTGGCTCCTAATTGCTCACCTGCCTGCCTGCCTGGTCATCCCTAACTGCCCCCCCCACCCCCCGCCAGCCTGGTCGCCCCTAACTGCCCCCCCGTGCCAGCCTGGTCACCTCTTACTGCCCCCCCCCACTGGCCTGGTCACCCCTCACGGCCCCCCACTGGCCTGGTTGCCCCACGCAGCCT